CTGCTCTCGGGTTTGCAGAAAAGTGTACTGAGAATATACTACAAGCTTGCACAATTCTCCCTAACTAGTCAGTACGGAGCACAGCGCAGAGCATAGAATGGGGCCTTGGGAGCCCCAGAGAAATGCCATTGTCTAGAAATTTTCTTTGCCAAATAGCTCTTTATATATTTCCTTCCTAAGACTCTCATTACAAAGAATACTAATAATGGACCTGCTTATGCAAGCAAATGATTTGAGGAAATTAGATATTCATCATAAAATGCATTACTAAAATCACTTAGTATTTACTAAGTCAAGTTATTGTAGAATGGCACCAACAGATATTAATAGGTAAATTCTAAATAAATAAATAAATAAATAAATAAATAAATAAATAAAGGTAGTATTATACACTCCCATTTAAATCTTCACATAGTATTCAGTTATGCTAACTATTTTTATTTTAAAGAATAATTGTTTTGTACTGCCCAGAAGCATTTACCTTAGAGGAGACACAACCTAAATAAAGTAAATGCTAAATAAAAAGAAAGTGCCCAATGTTGTAACAAAAAATGAGGTTATACTTATGTGTTTTGAGAAAAACAAGTTTGAGATGAACCCTGATCTGATGCATCCAACAAGGACATCTAGGGATCACTAGACAAATGAAACATCTAAAACAGCAGACCAGGACACCCAACACCCTGAAACAAAGGAAATACCTTGAAGCAGATGACAAATCTATCAAGAGGATATGTCCCAAGAAAAAGCATAAGTTCATAACTTGGAGAAAGAGGAACATTAACTGAGACTTTGGGGAAACAACAAGAACTAACCTCAAAGTTATACTTTTATGTTTAATGATGTATTGTTCTTGGTTCTTGTTAATGTCAATCAAAATGCATTTTATCAAGGGGGACAAAAGACACATGTGACAGTAGAAAGTATGATGTTTTGTCATGCTAGGATTGTTTATAATGGCTTGTGTGCTTACAACAAAAATACTAGTAGAAATTAATTAAGAGTGAGGAGAATTGAGGATGGTTTCCCCCTTTCCTTGGTCCTCTGTTAAATATTGTAGTTCCCTCATGCATTCATATATTAATTAGAATAGCTACAGAGGTAATGCACTCAACTATGGTCTCTATTATGGCCACTATTTTTTCCTAAGAAATTTAGAAGGTAAGAGATTTTTGGGGACATAGAGTTCCTTGCTCTCACAGAGAGGCACTAAGAGAAGCAGGAACATTAGTCACCCTGTGGTGTTTCCTCAATGGAGGAGATATAAGTCAAATATTTGCATTCCATACAGAAATGGAGAGTGGAAATTGTTAGCAACCTGGTGACTTTTTGTTATCTGTTTAGGGAGACCTCATCCTAATTCACCTGAATAATTATCCCAGAATCTTTCTGCTCTAGAATATTACCCATACTTATGGTAGACATCACAAATACCTTATGCTGATCTCTGTGCTATTGGTCAGAGATCATACTAGATTCTATCCCTTTAAGATATAGAACCCACCCTCATGGTTACATGTATTTTGTAAAAGTGTTTCTATGCAGTCACATCTTAAGTTTAATTTATAACTAGAATTGTACTTATTGGACTGATTGTTGCATGGAAACCTTTCCCCAAATTGTAGTTTGTTTTAAATATGTTGATGATTAACAGGCTGACATTAAACTCCCTGAAGACTGATACAGGTTGATGAACTCAATCTTCACTTTGTTTTCATTCTCACATTTTGAATTCGTTGCTTCCTTGTGGATACCTGAAAGAACCCCTTCAGTGTCATCAAAAGCTCTTCTCTGATGTTTCATAGTACTAGAAGATTATTCACAAGCTACCAAATTAGGGGAACAATCAACAGTTCTATCAACTTTTATATCTATGAACTAGAATAGTGACCAGCATGTCAAAATAAAACTCTTAGGGGTGGTAGCATCTCATATAACCTGGAGGTGGCCAATAGCTTTCTAATTGGACTTAATACCAGATAAACAAGAGGAAAATCACACCTCCTCTTGGAAACATAGACAACTCCACTGGGCTAGTAAAGCAATGGATCTTTTAGGAAAACCTACAATTACCATATTGCTAAACCAGAATAATCCCTAAGTATATTCTAAGCATTTGTCATCATATCCACCAAAAAGTATATTCATATTCCTTTATCAAGGAAACATCTCTTTGCAATAGATGGAAATCATCCTTGAAAAAGGGGACCAATCAAAAAGCAGAATTGTGGAGAATTATCCCAAATGATATTTCCACAAAACAACTCCTGTACCTAAGAATCATTGTAAAAGAAGGGACATAAAGATTGTAAGAGCCAAAGGATTTGGGATTTTGCTTTGAGACTATGTTTCCTAGGAATGAATGTCAGGAAAACCTATAAATCTCACAACCATGACTACCTAAGCATGAACTGAACAAACAGCTGATATAGGCGTGCTAATATTAACAGGAAAATCCCAGTTGTCCTCAACCCTACACATAAAACAAAATAAAAGAGACAAACCAACAAACAAAAACTATAGAAAATTAGGGGATGCAGAAGAATCTTCTCTAAAAGGACTTCTTAATTTGTCTAAGTAATAAAAATGTAGAGTCAGAAATAGAAGAAAATATTGAGAAATCAGAGAGAATGAACAAGCCATGGTTATAACTTACCTTCATATCAACTTAGCAGACAAAAAAAGCAATTTCCTGTTTCTGTCCAAATATCTTACTTCCTATCTCTCTATAGACCTCTATGGTAAGCTAGTGACAAGCTCCATTCTCTGACATCCAAACAGGCTTTATTTGTACAAGAAAGATATCATCATGGTCATCCCCAGGGAAAAGTAACTAACTTGGTTATTTCATACCAAATGGTCAGAACTGAAAGCATTCCTACAGGGTCCATTACACTGAGTAGGTTGTATTAATGTATTTAGAAATATATACATATATGCCATGATCATACATCAAATAATGAAAGAGAGGTCATCAATTTGAAAGAGCATGAAGAGTGGTATACAAAAGGCTACATAGAGAGGAGACGGGAAAGATAAATGATGTAATTGTATTTTAAGCACAAAAACAAAACAAACAATTGAAAGTAAAATTTTTTTGAATTTCAAGTTTGAAACAGTATATTTATCATGTAAGTCACAGAGAATTACATCCATGGGTAAGAAATATCCACTTGTTCCTGTAGTAAATTTTTAGTATGGAAAGATGATTAGGTACTTGCAATCAGATACTATCAGCATCAATCCAAACCTATTTCCATAATTGAAGTTCACCCTTAATTTCTTGGTTTCTTTTTTGCCTTTTCGTTTTTTGCATAATGACACACCTGACAACATTTATGGCAACTGGACATCCCTTGAAGTCATCAATGTTTTGATATTTGGCTTGCAATATGTGATATCCACCTTTTATAACATAGAATAATATTTCTTATTATGAAAAGAAGTAGATGCAGATATTGAAGACCACTATCCAAAGCATTTCAGGTACTTAGTCTGGTAGTTTTAGAAAAGTTAAGACAGCAGTATATGCAAAAGTGGCCTTCAAGCTTCTATATCTGTCAAAATATCTGATATGCAATATGAAATTTTATAAACATACATAAAGAAAACCAGTCTTAGAAGAAAGGAAATTTATAAAAGACAAAATGAAATTCAAATCCAGAATACTGGTATATTTGTTGAAGTGTCTGGAATAAAAATGTAAGATTGTATTTTATTGTACCAGTGTGTTCTATACCATTGAAGAATGATATACAATACTTTTTGAGTTTTTAAATATGAGTTTATTGAGTATACAACAAACTAAAATAAAAGAATAGATCACAAATTGTAGGCATATAGGTAGATTGCTAACTATACAGATAGAAAACACCATCAAATCAAGTGCTTAAAACATCCAGCAGAAATTGTGCTGCAGAGCCCTGTTAAGACAGTGAGGTTGCATGGAGCTCCACATAAAGATAATCCCTTAAACAGCAAAAATGACTCAATGGGTGAGGCTTCTCAATATATCAAATAGTAACACATACCATAATTAAGTGTTAAAACTATCCAGTAGAACACAGCAGAGGAAATTGAGATGTAGAGCCAGAGTTCCCAATTGAATTTATCTTCATATATATACTTCACTTGGTTTCACTGTAGCCATTTTTATAGCATGATATAAACAGTAACAGCATATGCTGGAAATTATTCAAGTTCCAACTATTCTATGTTCACAATATATTTACTTTTAGGTTATTTTATATTTATTTAATTTCTTTTTCACAGAATTAAGGGGGCCAGGCCATACCCCAAACAAGGAGTTTTGGAGGACACTTTGAGATAAACATGCTTGGGTCTGAAATTGGTGGAACAGTCCCACTCACAAGAGAAATCCATCAACTGAATTGACACACTGGTTTACCAATTTAATGTACATTATATAATGTTTTATATTTGATGGTTTAAAATGACATGCATATAAAAGTAAAAGTAACTTAGATTTCCTAATGTTAAAAATTTTGTTAATAAATGTTTTGAATGTGATGGGTTAAATATTGTAGAAAAATATTGAACATTAATAACATACTGGACTAATTATTCACAAGCCTATGGATGTCTAAATCTTTGTTCCAAATCCAATTATTAATTCTGGTTATGATATTAGTAGGGGCAATCAATTTTCTTGACATGATAGCAGCATTATTTAAATACTATCCATGCATCTTGCCCTTTCCAGTCTTACATTCTTCTGTAAAACTCAGCAGAGACGATTTGGTTATATTATAACTGCTACCACCATATATCATTATGTGCTCAAGAAATAAATTGTGCTAAGAGGATTGACATACTGCATGAAACAAAACAAAGACAACATGAAATGGTCAAATGTTAAGCCAAGTTAAATATATATGTAGTGATCATTATCTATTCCTCCTATAAAATATGATAGCAATATACTCAGTAATTTTTATTTGCAATATGTCTTCATACCTTTAATTTCCCTCAAACAACTCTCATGGATGGCAATGAACACATGGCAGAACATAGAATATCCAACCAGTGAATTTCCCAAAGGATTTTTTAATGTCTCTGTTCCTTAGGCTGTAGATAAAGGGGTTCAGCATTTGAGGGACCACAGTGTACATTACTGAAGCTACTGCTAACTTTCTTGGAGAATCAGTAACAGAGGAGTTGAGGTATACACCAAGGCCTGTCCCATAGAACAAAGAAACAACAAACAAGTGAGATGTACAGGTAGAAAAGGCTTTGTTCTTTCCTCTTTGAGATGTTAGTCTCAAGACTGAGAATAAAATGTAAATATATGAAAAGATGACCCCACAGAAGGCACCACCTGCAAATATGAAAACAGCAATGAGTATAAGCAAGTTATTAATGAAGGTATCAGAACAAGAAAGCTTTAGAATCTGAGCAAGTTCACAGAAGAAGTTTGGGATTTCCAAGTCTATACAGAAAGACAAGTGAAGCACCATCAGACTATGAAGTAGAGCATCTATTATGCTAAGGAAAAGGCAGAGCAGAACAAAAAGCACACAACAACAGGGGTTCATGGTAACTTTGTACCTGAGGGGCTTACAAATGGCCACATAGCCGTCATAGGCCATTACTGCAAGGAGAAAATTTTCCATGCCACTGAAAACTGAGACAAAGAAGAGTTGAGAGATGCATTGTATATAATTGATGGTGTCTTTCTGTGTTTGAATGTTCACCAACATCTTTGGGATGGTGCTTGTGCTTAAGCAGATATCATTAATAGACAAAATGGATAAAAAGAAGTACATGGGGCTATGAAGCTGGGAATCTGAGCAGATTGCCAAGAGGATGATTAAGTTTCCAAGAATTGTGACAAGATATATGGAGAGGAATATACTGTAGATTATGGGATCTAGTTCATGATTATTTGTCAGTCCAATGAGATGAAATTCCAATATAGCTGTTTGGTTTTTCAGTTCCATCTTGCCAATAAGAACACTGAAAAGACAGTAAAACATGATTAAAATCAGACCAAGTAGGAGCATCTCTTGATAATCAGATAGAAACCTCCTATAGACACCTTAATATGTAACTGGTAGACCCCTAAATTTGAAGAAAAGAATTTCTACTTTTAATCCACTCACCCTGCAGTGCTTGTTCAAAATACTTGTAGACCTTAATGTACTCCCAAATATCTGTATGACAAAAACATATATGTCATGCTTATAGCAGTCTTATTTCAAAAGTCACAGTTTTCTTAAAATAGGAAACAATTTCTTTCCTTGAAAAGAAAGCAACAAAACATTGAGATTTGAGTGATTATGAAAGCAAAGCCAAAGTTCATGCAGGTAGAATTAGAAAGAGGGATCACCTAGGAAAGAGAAACCTGACTTTCATAATCTTTTTCTTTCTGCATTTCATAAAATTCTCACTTTTTGGGTAAAAACTAGGTGAAATAATTTTCATCAAGTCCAAATTTCACTTAAACAATAGGAAATGAAGATCTGATTCATACTGAGGAACTATTTATATATGATGAATGATCATCCCTGAAAGCATGGGTGTAGATGATACTCACAAATTTGACAAGCACTTTTAAGTGAGTCATAGACTGAATCATACAGACCCTATCTCTGGGGACTAATTTGGAAAGCTCATTATTCCAGTTAATTACTTCACTATTATTATGATCCCAATTGTATATATATTTAAAGATGATTATTGTAGAATTTAAGTTTTTTGTTGTTTGTTTTTTATTTAAATTAGAAACAAGTTTGTTTTACATATCAATTCCAGTTCCCATTCCCTACCCTCCTCCCCTTCCCCCCACCAATCCCCTATCCCATCCCCTTTCTGCTCTATCAGGAGGGTGAGGCCTTCCATGGGGGAATCTTCAAAGTTTATCATATGATTTGGAGTAGGGCCTAGACCCTCCCCCATGTGTCTAGACTGAGAGAATATCCTTCTATGTGGAGTGGGCTCCCAAAGTCCATTCATGTACTAGGGATAAATACTGATCCACTACTGAAGGTCCCATAGATTGCACAGATCTCCAAACTGACATCCACTTTCAGGGGTTCTGGAACAGTCCTATGCAGGTTTCCCAGCTATCAGTTTGGGATCCATGAGCTCCCCCCTTGTTCAGGTCAGCTGTTACTGTAGGTCTCTCTATGGTCCCCTAGAGAAAGGGGGGATCTCCTGAGCTAGTTGGAAACCTTGGGAGAGGGGAGAAGGAGTTAGTAGAAAGAGAAGGGGAGAAGAGGAGGGAGAGAGGAGGACATGAGGACACAGGAAGATTGAGTCAGGGGAAGAATAGAGGAGAACAAGAAAAGAGATACCATAATAGAGGGAGCCATTATATGTTTGAAGAGAAATCTGGCACCAGGGAAATATCCAATGATCTACAAGGATGACACCAACTAACAATCTAAGTAATAGTGGAGACACTACCTGAAATGCCCTTCCCTAATAATGAGATTGATGGCTACCTTATATGCCATCCTAGAGCCTTCATCTTATAGCTGATGGAAGCAGAGGCAGACACCCACAGCTAAACACCGAGCTAAACTCCTGGAATCTGGTTACAGAGAGGGAGGTGTGATGAGCAAAGGGGAAGAATTTAAGATTTAGAATGATTCCTGACTGGAGCAGGAAAGTGATATTCCAACTTTTAATTTTATCTTAAAGGTCTGTCATTTAAAAGACACACCAATTTTTGAATAAATTGGAGTCTTTTTTAAGTTTAAAATTTGAGTTTTTCTATATAGTTGCTTATATCAATATGGTATTTATAATTTAGATGTTGGTAGCAATATGTTTCTTATATATAGCAGTATGTAATGCAATTATAAAAGAAAATAAAGACATTACAAACCAAAGTATATGTAATGTGCTGTTTTTATGACCCTTAAGTTTTGTTTTATATTTTTCACAGAGTATTGTAAATTGTATATGTCATCTACTGTGGTTAAATAGGAGATACAAGTAGGAACATAGTTTGTACTTATAATTCATGATTATATTTTAAAATATTACAATAGATTTAATATTTCCCTCTAATATAATTAAAATATTGGTTCTTCATGTATAATTGGGGTTCGGACTCAAATACAAAAGTAAGAAAATGTTATTGAAGAACACTCAAGTTTTAGACCATGACACACATTCTGTACATCAACAGTATCATTTCCATACATCTAACTTTTGTTTTGTAAGCACCCACACTTACTTACTAGGCCTGTGTTACCTGATAAGGTGACGAGACTCTTACAAAAACAAAATATAGGAAATGTTTTTTAGATACAAAATATAATGGTAATTGTTCAGATCAGTGCAGTTGTAGTTGCCATGATATAGCGATTTTTGCAGCTATACATGGTACACAAGATTAGTGTCAAACACAAAATGCACTGTCAAGCTTCCACACTTCCTGTACTTCTTTGGGAACAAACAGAAATGCACAAAGTGGCCTTATGTGAATGCTCCAAAGCCTGAGGAAGTGTATTGGTTTCTCAGTAAAGGAAAGTGGCCCAGGAGCTATGGACTCTGACTTATAAAACCTATGATTTAGGTTCCTCCAAGTGGCTTCAACATGACAAAAATAGCTATGGACAACTAAAATTTTTCACAATACAGTAGAAATAGTGTTCCATAGAGTAGAGAACAAAAATTGTGTATCCAATATAAAATTATGTGTGTGTGTGTGTGTGTGTGTGTGTATGTGTGTGTGTAACAATAACAATGAAAATGAGGCTATCCAAAAAAGTTACCAAGACATGAATTAATATGACATAATTTGACATCTGAAGTCTCCAAAAAGGAGATCGAATCCCAGACAGGCTGGGGTGGCACATGTCTTTAACATGTCTACTGTTCTACACAGCAGCAGTCATCTTCATACTTCCCCATCATCTGAATCATCACCACTGCAGATTTGGTGAGAAAATTGTGAATTCTTAAAGGTTAGAATTAAAGAGTTTTTTCCCACATTAAAAATATGAAACACAATTATAATGGAGAGAGTAAGGAGTTTATGATTATGCAATGCATGATTTAAAAAAATGGAAGAAACAAATTAGGGAATAATCAATTCAACTGGGATTAACACACTACTTATTATCATTTTGACATTATTTTAGTTGTTTTGATGATTCTTCGTTTATCTCTTAAAAAGTTAGTTGGTATGAGTGCCAAGATGCAGGCCTTAGAAAAACTTATGAAAGCAGATCATAGATATATTTAAACCAGACAGAGGAATTTAATGGGGAAACAAGTTCAGCATTGCATTATAAGGTTAAACAAAAAGAGTCTAACATCTTAAGAAAGCCAATCTTAATATATCCAATAACCTTACAGCAAGTATCAAATGATAGAGATACTAAATGAGGTAATTGGACACCTGTGACCGTGACACCTTGAGTTTCCTAAACTCAAGGAAGTGGTAATCTCATAAGGCATCCATTCTTGATTTTTGAAGCAGAATTTAAACTCATGGTCAGTTTATATTAGAGTTATCCCTACAGATAAGATAGACTTGGTTAAAGCTGTTCTAGAGCCTTGGCAAAATTATAATGGATTACCTGGTTCAGATAAGAGGCTAAGATTAATGGAAAATGGGCTAAAGCTAGAGGTATGGATATCCACCAAGATCAATTTCTTGGAGGAGATCATGCTACTTTAGAAAGGCAATGTCTATATAATGACAACCTCTTGGCTTTATTACATTTAGCAGCGTAGAATACTTGGGACATAATTGGGGAGATAGGAAAGAAAATTGTATCTTTTACATAAGTTATACAGAGTCCAAAGGAAGTCTTCATGGACATCTTACAAAGATTGACTTCAGCAGTAAATGTAAAGTTATCAGAATCAGAAGTTGGAGAAATAACAATTAAAACTCTGGCTTTTGAAAATGCTAATAATCAATGGAAAAGGATAATTAGACCATCAAAGGCAAGGTTAGCACATTTGGAGGAATGGATATGAGATATAATTAATATTGAAGGCCATGAACATGATGATACATGGATTGGAGAGATGTTTTAAAAAGGTTTGAAGAAAAATTGAAATGTCAAATGTTTTAATTGTGGCAAAAAGTTCACTTTAAAATGGATTATAAACAAGGTGTTGCAAGAAACAATGTTTTTAAACATAATCCAAACAGAACATCCCTACCTTCTGGATTATGCAGAAGGTGTGGCAAAAGCAGGCATTAGACTAATGAATGCAGATAAAAAAGAGAAACACAAGGGAATACTTTTCCATTAGGAACCTCCTTGATGGTCCTCTTGAAGGCCCATATGCCAAATTAGGCTCAGTTTTTTCCTTTCATTGTTAAACACCTTCCTGGATCAATTAAAAAATGTAAAGCCTATTGTAAGACAACATACTGCTCTAAATGATAGTGGAGGTATAAAAGGGAGAACAAAAATATAAGAAAAAACACAAAGCATTTTTGCAAACTTCTATAAATGAATAGAGACCAAAATTAATAGTACAAATAAATGACATTATCATGAAAAGTCTGACAGACAGAGAAATAGATGTAAATATTAGTTCACCAGAATATTGACACATAAATTGACCTCTTCAGGCGGTTAATGTTCAGTATTTAGGGATTGGAACTTTATCTCAGGTAAAACAGAATCATAGATGGGTCAAATATATAGGACCAGATGGACAGAGAGGAAAATTACAGACACATGTTGCTAATGTAGGAAAGAATTTGTGGGGACATGATTTGTTACAGGAATACTAAAATTAACATTCCCCTAATCTTAGAAACAAACCATAAATTAACATATTATTGTGCAAAAAATAAGAAGGTATTATAAAGAACATTCACTGGACATTCAGGTTGTGCAAGAGTAGGTCACAATGGCTGTTGATCTTCCAAAGGGACCAACAGCCCTGCTTTTAAAATGGTTGGCAAAAATATGCATAGGTTGTGCAATGGTCTTTAACAAAAGAGAATCTACAGGCTTTAGAATAGCTTGTACAGGAGCAACTAAACACTCAGCATATTGAGGAATCA